AAAGAAGGAGTAAATGAGCTTCTTGGCATAATTTGTCTTCATGAATATGTGGCTCCGGTAATTTAGAGCATATATCCCTTCCCCTAGCCTTGCATTTTCCTTCCCTTTCTTTCTTACTTTCTTTCTCTAATTAAAAAAGAAGCAGAGTTTTACTTTGTTGCTCCAACTGGCCTTGAACCTGTAATCTTCTTGTCTCAGATTCCCTGGGTACTGGGATTATTGGTGTATGCCAAAATGTCTTGACATTTGAAAACTTTGAAATAGATGATTTATGATCTATTACCAAGAAATGTGCTTGGGAATATGCCAAGTATTTTACATTCTAATTGTTCACCTGACTATCTTATCTTTCATAGCATATTTTCCCATTATATTATCTTTTTTCATCCATTTTCTTAAAGTTTCCCCTTCCACTGGTGACACTGATCAAGATGTATTGTACACATCAATGGGCATGTTAATTTGAAACCCCTTGTGTAACAGTTTAAAGATAATAAAAAAGAGGAAAAAACTCACTTTCTATTTTAAAGAAGGTGTTTTTATTATCTACTTGGAAGACTTTCTCTGTTAGTCAGATTTTTGTAAGTCAACGCTATTTAGAGCTGGGAGAGAATAAACTTTACACATGTCTAGACTCTACTGCCTTCTTTATTAAAGAGAAAGGAACTAGAATTCAGAAATGAGAAAGGGTTGTGTACTGAAGAGAAGAAATACCTTTGAGTTTCACCCAGAAATAATGCCAGTCTGGTGGATCTATAGGATAAGGTTACCTCATCAGTAACTTACATCTTAACCCATTCCCTTTTTTTTTCCATGTTACTTGGGTTTCAACTCAGGGGTCTGGCCTTATGCTTTTTAATTAAAAATTTTTTTTTTACTAGTCATGGGGCTTGATCTCAAGTCCTGGGCATGGCCTTGAGCTTCTTTTGCTCAAGGCTAGCACCATACCACTTGAGCCTCAGCCTCACTTCCTGCTTTTCCTTTTCATGTGGGACTGAAAGGGTTTCATGCATGCTAGGCAAACACTCTACCACTAAGCCACTTTCCCAACCCTGGCCTTGTACTTTTCACACATGTTCCAACCACATGAGCCATGTCCCCAGACCTCTCTGCTTCAGTTATTTTTCATGTAGAGTCTTGCTTTTGTTTTATGTATGTATGTATGTATGTATTTATTTATTGCCCTGTAACCACTGCAACCCTCTTGTTTACCCTTCTTGATTAGCTGGGATGACTAGTGAGTGCCACCATGCCACCAAAGTATTTATCAAATGAGTTGGGGTGTCCCAAACTTCTGTCTGGCGTTAGTCTTGAATGGCAATCTTCCCAATCTCAGATTTAGCCCCTTGTGTCCCCAGTATCTGGTGTGATGGGTGTCAACCACTGAATCTACCTAAAGTGCAAGACACCGACTCAGACCCTCTCTCCTCACACCAAGCTTGTTGCAGGAGCCAACCTGGCACTAAGCCTTCAGGAAGAGGCTGTTCCCTCTACCAGTGCCTTCCATCTGTACACCGTCACCAGATCAATCGCTATTTCTTTCTATTTTGTGGGGGGGGGTCAGTCAAGGGGGTCAGGGCCTGGGTACTGTCACTGAACTTTTTTGCTCAAGGCTAGCACTCTACCACTTTGAGCCATTTCACTGCTTCTAGTTTTCTGGTGATTAATTGAAGATAACAATCTCATGGATTTTCTTGCCCAGGCTAGCTTTGAACCATAATCCTCAGATTTCAGTTTCCTGAGGAACTAGGATTTTAGGTATGAACCACTAGTGCCCAGAACAGATCAATCTTTAAAAAACACTAATATTCCTGCTATGCAGAAGCCTATGTGCCTTGCTGTAGGTCACACAGAAAAGAGTTCCCATTCTGTTTACTTTTATATTTGGACCTTCTACACTGATTTTTCAGCCTTTGATAAAATGGGTAGGTGAATACAGAGCACACAAGAAAGGGGTAAAAAATAACCCTGAAATCTTCAGTCTGAAGTGTGTGTGTGTGTGTGTGTGTGTGTGTGTGTGTGTGTGTGTGTGTGTGCGTGTGTGTGTGTGTGTGTGTGTGTGTGTGTGTGTGTTTTAAAGCACTGACAAAAGGAAAGGTCTCAATTACACTCATTAAAAAAAATTGTTCCTAGAAGCAAGGCAAAGAAAAGGGCCACATCAGTACATGAAACACAGAAACGATATTCAGATGGAGAGCAAGGCTTTCCAGCCTCTCGGGAGATCTGAAGAGTAGGAGAGACAAGACTCTTGAGCACAGTTGGGCCGTTCTGCTCTCTCTTTGTTGAGACATGACTTGTCCCATCTCTAGTTCCTCAGCTTCTGCACCTGCCAGACCGTGCTCTCCTTACAGCATATTCAGTCTCGATAAAGCCCCCTTTGTCACATTCTCCATGCCACATGTAATTAAGTTCATGCCTCCCTTCAGACAATCCGCATCAGCAGATGACCAGCTTGGATGCCATCCAGCTGGATGCACACCCAGTTTTGGATGCTATCTGAGGAATCAGCAAAGAAGAAATCTGGACAGAGATGTTCAGAATTTTCCTATAAATGCTTTGAAGTGATACACGACCATTTCCTGATGCCCTCCTGTGTCTTCTCCCAGTAAAAGTTCTGGCCTGTGTTACATGAGCATCCGAAGGGTCTTTAGTGAGCCATAGAAAATATGCTCAAATGCACGATAAGAAGGCAGAGGCCTGGTGTGTTGTATTGTGAGAAACGGCACATTATAACTGGCAGAATTGCCTTGAAGAGTGAATGGAATGAAGAGTATGCAAAATTAAGTGGCAGAGAAACTTTGCATTACTATTATATTCTAAAACAAATTCTTACTCTTGTGTTTTCATAAGAAAAACACAATGTGGATCACAACAGAAAATTAGGGGCAAGAGGAATTCTCATTTGTCTGACACAGTCATCTTTGGGTGTTGGTTTCTTGTTTCACCGTCTCTGGTACATAGTTTTTTTTTAGGTACTGAGCTGTCTCCAGCTTTGTGTTCATAGACACAACTTCTCTAATAAACATTAGATCTAACAGTCATTGCTGGTGCACCTCCCTTGTTAGCATAGCAAGGAGTGAATTGCTTCTTTTCCTTTGTAGTCAAAGACAGGGGGACCTAGAAACAGTTGTCTGGCTCTATCAATATTCTATTGTCTTTCCTCCACTTAAAAGGTTCTATCACCCTAGCCAGGGTATCACTGTATGATGGGAAGCAAAGCTAAAGGAAGGGCATGAGATTATCTATCTCCTTTCAGGGTCAACCTATCACTATGGTAGATTTAAGCCTCGAACTTTAGCTGAAGATAATAGTAATCACATGAAAGGAGGAGACCATGAAGACCTCATGGCTTCTTAGCCAAAAGCACAATCCATTATTTGCTTCTGCTTAAACGAAATGTCCAGGCTGGCAAAGGCCTTGATGGATGAATGTTTAATGTTAACCTTGACTCTGGACACAAGCAAATAAATAAAAAAGATCTTAGAGTTTGCAAATCTTTTTTTTTCTTGTTAGAGCAAAAGAGAGTTCTGATGGCTTATGGATTTATTTGGCATAGGGAATGAATATTTGATGTTGGTAAATACAAACCTTTTAGTGATTTTTCTGTTGCTCAAACTTAAGGCATGAATAACATTAAGGAAAAATTTAAAAAATTCTCTAATTCTGGTTATTTGTGCAGGTTTATTTGTACAACGACCTGAGGGGGGGGGCAGGAAATGTTCTAGGTCAGCATGATTATAAATACCAATATCTGTACCTGAGTGCATAAGGAAGCTACTGAAAATGGAGACTAAAAATGGATGTTGTTCCAAAGATGAGAGCAGAGGAGAGGAAAGGAGAAATGTGAGGTAATGATAACCTAGTTTTGAATTTGTCACTCAGGCTTTGTAGAGCTCAGCGATGAGAGGCAGTGCCTATCCCTCTTCACTATCACAACCATTTGTTAAAAAAAGGAATTTACCATTCTTCAGAAATATTAATCAGACATACTTCTAATTCACCATTTAATGCACATACTTTTTGTGGGAATTAATCAAGCAAGACCTTCTATGATTCACTAGAGGCTGAACTGAAAATCTGTCTTCCTCCCTTTTCCTCCCTTCCTTCCTTCCTTCCTTCCTTCCTTCCTTCCTTCCTTCCTTCCTTCCTTCCTTCCTTCCTCCCTCCCTCCCTCCCTTCCTCCCTTCCTTCCTTCCTTCCCTCCCTCTATTTTTGTGTTAGCCCCAGGTCTTGAACTCAGGACCTGGGCACTGTCCTTGAGATTTTTTTTTGCTCAAGACTAGTACTCTACCATTTGAACTATATCTCCTCATCCAGCTTTCTGGTGGTTAATTGAAGACCAGTCTCAAGGGTTTCTGTGCTCTGGCTGGCTTGGAACCATGTTCCTCAAGTCTCCTCCTGAGTAGCTAGGATTACAGGTGCGAGCCACTCGTGCCTGACTTCTTGTTTTCACGTAAATAAAACCTCGTATTTATGATTAGGACACATTCAAAATAGAGCCATCTAATTCAATTTGGTTTAGCCAACCCTAAAGACACTTTGAATATTATAAAGTGTGGAATTTATAAGCATAAAAATATAAAAGATGTTTTTGCTAGGAAGAGGAAGAATGTGTGTATGTCTGTGCTATGTTGGGGTAGGAGAGGGAGGTCAAGGATGAAGGAGAAATCCAATCCTTTTTTGATCTTTATAATGGGAACAAACTGGATTCTTGAGTCAGGCCATGTGATCTCAGTGTCTGTGACTCACAATTTCTCTGGACAATCCAAGCATCATATTTTATTTTTTCTGACGTTCCACCCATACTCAAGATCTGCAAAAGTGTCTCCTCAAGTTTCAAAGGTGAAGAAAAGTACACACTTGATTTGTTATAAGTCTAGGGAAAAATGCATGTCAAGGTAAAAAATATGTTGGGTTCATTATTTCCATTATTTATTATTATTCTCCTGCAAGCTAGACATTGATACAGTTCAAATGCATCAGAAAAAAAGCATATTTACCTCATACTTTCTTTCCTGTGTACTGTCACATACATTTCGTAGACTCTCCCTTGGGGAATGGCCCCGGCAGGAATCAGCAAGCTTACTCCTGAACAGCAAAAGAAAAAAAGTGTAAGACCCATTAATCAAGAGGAAACTTCTAGAATCTTTTTGCAGTGAGCAAAAGGGAATGAAGGGATTGTGTGATCATGGAGCCCTAAACTTGCTTCCTGTTCTCTAAAATCCTGTGACTATTCCCAGGAATCCTGCTTTCTTCTCTGTTGGCCTTACTGCGAATCCACCCTCTGAACTGTTAGGGAATTACTTAAAAGTGTGATGTAATTTTGAAACTCATGTTTTATTTAAAAAGTAAGACAGATGGTTCTACTGTCATTTTCCTTGTGGAACACGGGAAAATCCAAAAGACTGCTATCAAAATCCCAAACCGGGGTAATAGTCCATTGTTTCTAATAAAAAAAAATCCTCCCAAGATTCAAAGTGAGGGAAATGCTAAACTGACTTCAGATATATAAAAATATTTTTTTGTCCTGAAATATCTGGTTATCATTAGTGTTATTTTGTAATAGAAAAAGAACTGGTTGACAAGTTACGGTATTATGCATAACTCTAGAAAAGTGAGCAATTGCTAGTTTAGCCACAAAGTTGGTCAGAGCCTTTGTAGTTGGTTGCTAGTTCACGCTCTTAGCTGAACAAATTGGGCTGAGCTGTGTTCTAAGCTAACTGTGCCGGTAGCAATAGTATGAAAATGTCCCCTTGCACAAGAATTACCTGGAGTGTATTTAAAACACAGATTACTGAACTTTACTCCATAGTGTCTGATTCTGAAGGTCTGGGAGGGTGAGTGGGTAACTTTTGAGTTCTAACTGGATTCCAGGTGATGACCAGGTTGGTGATCTGGGTCCAGTGTTGGAGAACACCAGCCTGCATTACTGATCATCAGCACAGACAGTGATTCTGGGTGGTTGGCACTGAAAGCCGTTGGGGGCTATAATTTTTTTCCCTATGAAATACACTTAACTCAGCTCTATAAAAGCTAATAGAGTATCCTTGTATGTACTGTGTTTGGCACTGCTATGAAGGCCAAGAAGTAAAAGCTAGTTCTTGTCCCTGACTAACATGTAATTCAATTAGTAAGGAAGTAGACTATGCCAAATGGGTATGAAGCAGTAAGAAAGCTTGCCCAACCAACCATGTTGGGAAATCTTAAAAATAAAGAATGGTGTGTTCCGGGGAAAGAGGTAGTCATGGCTGGCAAAGCTGGATGACGATGCTGGCGTGTGCTTTTGAAAAGGCAAGTGATCAGAGAGCTGTGGAGTTGGGAATGTGGGATTGTGGTGCCGATGAAAGAATGTTTTATGCTGGCTCAGAGCAGGAATGGAATGACTGCATATGAGGCTACCTAGACTCAGACTCAAAAGTCATGAAATGTACCCTTATCATTACAGGGATTAAAAAACACATGCAAACTAAAAAGAATAATTTCTGACACATTGTTATTTTATTAAGTAAGGTAACACATGTTGGCTACTCTTGTACAAATTCTAGCTCCTTCCCTTCCATTAAGAAACAAAACAAAACAAAACAAAAAAAACTTTTAGCTGGGCACCTGTCATCCTAGCTATTCAGGAGGCTGAGATCTGAGGATCGCAGTTCAAAGCCAGCCCGGGCAGGAAATTTCCTGAGACTCTTATCTCCAATAAACCACTAGAAAACCGGAAGTGGTGCTGTGGCTCAAGCGGTAGAGTGCTTGCCTTTTGCTGAAGAGCGAAGGGACAGTGACCAGGCCCAGAGCTCAAGCCCCACAACCGACAAAAGAAAACAAAAACTTTTATAATTATTCACGTTGGAAAATGGGAATAAAAAGCAGAATCCAATACATACCATGGAGGAAATAACTGTGTTAGAAACATTTATAACATTCAAACTGGGAAAATAGTAGTATATATTTTTGATGGGATTATTATGAGTAAATATCGTGATTTTTGGAGCATGCATACAGAATGAGAATTAATGAGAAAAAAAGCATTTTGTAGAAAATATGCTCTTAGGTACATAAAAATATATTGAAAATGTGCTTTTCAATATATTTCAAAAACATTGAAAAAGTGATTTCTATTACATATTACAATTTTATTAAAATACCTTTTTTAAGATTTCAGGTTCAAAAGTTACTAAAGCATTAACATGGGAGTTTGAATGAAAAGAATCAAAGAAGTTTTATATTCAGGTCTAGAGAGTCATGAGGTTTTCTTGACTGTATGTATGTGTAACGTAACATAGGGTTATGTTACAGTAACTCACTAAGTTAGGCTGCTTCTATTTATTGTATTTAAAAGTACTCAGAGTCTTGCCCAAAAGAGTTAAGGTATATTCAAAGAAGAAGCCACTGGCCTTTGTATGACCTGAGGTTCCAACCTATTCCCACTACTACTAAATGAATTCAAATCTTCAACATCATCACTACCTTTAATACAAAAGACAGCTGTAAGGCTTTTTGTTTAGATGCAGATATACTGCATAATATACCTGAAGAAGAAGATGAGATGACAGGTAGATATCTCAAAAGTTAGAATGACAACCTGACAATCACTTTATGATTGAAGATTGTTATGAAGAGTTAAGTTCATAAATGAAGACTTGATGTCTATTACGATGTTTCTTGTCATGTAAAAATTAGTATTCTGAGGTAATTGTTTCTTTTTATTAAATTGGAATTGAACCAACTCCTGTTTTCATATTAAGTCATCTTCTAAAGGGCTAGTGGCTGGGAGGGCTCCTGGCTTACTGTTACCTTCTGATTTTGTACTATAGAGAAGGTCAGTGACAGTTGTGAATTATAGCTCAGGAGAAAGTCTTGAGTGTAATATTTTTGGAGGAGTTGGTTGGGGGAAGATGATAAATGGTCGGCAAATGTTTGCCTGAAGTTGTTGGATTTATATCAAAAGCAGACTTAGGTTAAATAGGCGACTTTAACTGTTCAGGTCTAATAAAAGCAATAACGAACTAGGAGCAAAAGTATTCCTTCAAGACACTTCTTTGCCAGTTACACCTTTTAAGAATTACCTGCATTGGGCACGATGAGGTGGCCTCCAAGAGAGTTGAAGGTGCCAAAGGCAGTGCAGGATGGATCCGTCTGCCTGGCGAGACTCTGATTCTTCAGGTTGAGGGCCTCATTTTCCAGTAAGGACTGGGTCATCTGTGGAGAGAGCTTGGATGTGAACTCAGAGAGGTCGTCTTGGGGAGTGACGGCTCCTGAGGTGTTGTATACTTTGATTTTCAAGTTGGGCAGTGGATCGAGAATTGGAGAATTGGTCATTGGGATTTTGTCTGAGACATCATGCAGAGCATAGACAGGTCCCCTGTACATGGCTGCAGCTGACGTGAGGTCTGGAGGCACCGCCAGAAGATCTGAAAGAGAAAAGAAGTACAGTTATATTCTCCATGTAGGCCAGTGTACATTAGTGAGACAAAAGCAAAGCAGTTCATATGGGCGATGGATGGACTTCAAGGCTTTGCTAATAACAGCACAATCAGACAATATACATTCATTTAATTATTGGCTACAAATAAGTAACCCATCTTGTTCCACATTTATTTTTTGGATACCTATTTATTACATCTAAAGCACTTTTCTGTTTCAACAGATCAGATTGAACAATAAGTCCCACGAGAACACTATTTGGTAACCTTGGTCCTTTTGTGCTGGCTTGGGCAAAAGCAAGAGACCCTATGTGAGAAATAAATTTTAAGAAATGTAAAAGATTTGGGTTGTGTTTCAGGCATTAGAGTAGATGGCTTGCCGAGCAAATGTGAAACTTGAGTATACCCCGTGCCCTCCCCCAAAAAGGGTAAATGAGACGAGGAAGTCATTCGCTGAGTCGATGTGCTTTTCTTTCTTTTTTTTTCCAGATAGAAGACTATATATCAGGACAGAACCACCTGTCAGGAAAGAGGCAAAAAGATGATTTGTGCACTTTGTCAACTCTCATTCTTTATGTTGAATGTCCTCCAAGCTGGGTTCTGTAATGAAAAAGTCAATCAAAGTCATTATCCTCATGAGTTTATGTTCTAGCTGAACTGAATGACCCAAATGTCACCAGATTCAGAGCCATACAAGGGAAGAAGTTCCCATGTGTGAATGAGAAGGTGAGGACTGGAATGCCCACTGACCTTGTCTGGCTGCCTTGATGTTCACAGGCTGGAAGCCCCCGTTGAGTGCGGAAGAGTCAATGATATCAGACTCAAAGTCACGATGATTCTTCCGATACACAAACAGGGCCACCACGACAGAGATGGCCAGGCAAACGATCACTGCTATCACGATCCCAACATAGAGAGCAACATCATCTGAATCAGGTGCAGCTAGAAAGGAACGGATGAAACATCGGACCAACTCCTTGTAGAGCCTTCCCACGGTACAAATATGCATCACTGTAATTTTCCCCGACATTTATTGCTTTATTTTTATAGGTTAATTTCAAGTCTATCTCAAAAGCTATATAAAATGACTGTGGCCTTTTGGTGGAAAATTATCTCTGATTTCTTTTTCTTTCTCACTCTGCATCAATCCACCCACTAATCTATCTTATAATTGGGCAGCATAACAGACCATTTATTGCCAGGCATATAATGTAACGGAAGCTAAAACCATCCCAACCCACAGAGGAGAAAAGTTTATTACTCCTTTTAGGTGAAAAAGTTTAGAAGGCTTTTTGAATTCACTGATTGTTCTTTAAAAACAGAGAACAGTGTTAAACATTTCTGGGCATGCTCTGAATCTGTGTATTTATGAAACCAGAATGTATTTGTAAGCATCAATCCCAGTCATAAAGAAACTTTCCTGAGAAGGCTTCTCACTTCCTCTAAGTCAATGGAGAGGGTGAATGGGAATGGTTCAACTAAGCAAGGCAAATATAAGAAGCAAACATGCTAGATTAGAAAAGTGTATTTAGAGAAGAACAAGATATGGGGGCAGAGGTTAGTGCCTATGACCTTCTTAATCCTAGCCTTCAATGTAGATACTGTATGACCTCTGAGAACTGAAAGTTTTTACAGGCCCTTGGCAGTAATTTATATTTGGGATGCTCGCTACGGAAAGAAAACATAGCTCTAAGGTGTCCTAGGTAAGATAAAAGCCTGGCTTAGTGATCACAGATTATTAAGGAAGGAAAGTAACCAGTTGATGGACACAAAGTGCCATGCATTGAAGGTCTATTTTGTGGTAAAGCAAAATGAGATGGTTCTATCAATGATTCACGTTGCCTTGCTGACATGGAACATGCTTTAATCCAACTAGAAACAGTGAGAAGCTGAAATTAAAGCAAACAGAATTTAGAAATGGATGAATCACCTGGGCATTGTTAACTCTCTGTGTCTTGGGTTCTATGAAACATAAAAATGATACAGTAGAGTCAACCGAATCTGCTCTGTTGGCTGTACAAGACCTAGCTAGGTTGGAACTCTAGGTGGTTATTTTTATATAATACATACTTTTGGAGGAGAGAGTTTTCAAATTCATACATCCTGTGACCTCTTAAAATTTGAGGTTGCACCACCCATTCCTTGGATAATTTATAAGGGAAAAGAGCTTCTTGTCTCATTAGTTAGGAGCTTACATTGTAACGCATTTACTCCTTATCAGCCATTAACTAATTCTCCATTGGAAATGTCTCTCTTTTATGTTTTTTGTTTTAAAGTACTGTGAAAGAACTGTGCTTTCTTTTTTCTTTTTTTTTTTTTTTTTTAAAAAAAAGGTATTACTTTCCCCCAAATTTCCCAATTTCACTTTCCTGTCAATCTAGTCAATATTGACAGCTATCCCTCCCCATCCCAGAAACCTAGTGATATCTCAAATTCTCTTGATTATGTCAACATTGGTTTCCATGAGGTGACTACACTTCACTGTTGGGTTATACTCAAAGCTCTGTAGTAGGATTCTGAATTGTGGTCTGAATATTCCATTCTAAATCCTTAATGTTTTAACCTTACCAGGCCATAATTACTTATTCAACATTTATGATTTCCAGCACAATAGATGGTATTTTCTCAACCTTTCCCTTTCAGTATTTGAACTCTGCCCTTTATTTCTTTCAGCCTATTTCATGACATGTTTTCTCAGTGGCTGGGACCCGTGCTTCCAGTGGTAGATTGATAGATTTTAAAGCTGGTGGAGTCTTGAAATGACCCTTTTTTCTCCTCAGCATTGAAAATCTAATTTGTTTTCATGTTAGAATATATTAGCCTCCTATTTCCTGTGTGCACATCTGTGATCGAAAGAAAGGCAAACTTGAACTGAGGCAGTCGTATTAAATGATTATCAGTAACATAAAATCCAGACATCAAACTTACAGGCAAATCCATATTCACTTTGGGTTCTCTGCTCAGTTGAAATAGGATAAATGAAACCTTGAAAAGAAAAGAAAAGAAAGACAAAACAAAACAAAAATGGTAACAAAATTAAATTAATGAAGGAAACAAAATGGGAAGCATGAAAAATGGTTTAATTAAAAGACAAAGAAAAGAAACCTGTGGTTCTTTAAAATTCTGGTTCAGTACAGAATTATGATTTTTGCCTCCTCTGTCTGCTTGTAGAGCTAAGAATTAATAAGTAGGCAGATTGAATTTCAGAGCAAAAACTGGTCTCGAGTCACTAACTTTGGAGTGCTTAAACTCTTTCTTTTATTGAGCATAAACTCTAATGGATCTAATTTATTTCAGACATCAAGGGTCATTAGCATAAGCAAAATCTTTTTTCCTTATCCCTGCCATATGCTTTAATTCCCAGGACAGTCTCAGAAGTCTCTAACCAGCTTTTTTAAAAAATTTAATCATAAAAGCTTTCTCTTGGTCTAACTGGACCAAAGAAGACCTTTCGTCATTGGTCAAAGGTTAAGCACCCATTTACTGAACTGAGCTATGACCACTGCTCCCCATCCACCTCCATCTACATTTTGGATTTTCTCTTGTTTTGTTTCACTTTAATTTAATATGATCCAATAGGGACTGTTCAAGGCTGAGCATTTGGTCAAGGCAATGGAAACTGGATTGTTTTTCTTACATGAAATCATTTGAAAATCAATAGGGCCTTGACAGTATAAGGTTATCTATTGTAGGGTTTCAGAAGTATGCTGTAAATTAGGCAAAATACTAAACTCATCTCCCACATATGCAGACATTGTACCCATTTCCTTTTTCTTTTCAGAGTATTCTGAAGTAGTACTTACTCATAATAGTAATACAATTCTACTAATGATGATGTAAAACAGTGAAAGTAGGGAGCAAACTTTTTTTAAGGCAGAATACAAAACTTTTTGAAATGAGAAATAGATTGGAAAATTTGAAGCACAACTTCTAACTGGTACCCACATTTATCCAAGATTTAATACTCTGTATCCTACAAATTAACCAAATAATACAACACTCTTTGGATTAATCAAATGAACATTGAACACAAGTATATGAATCAAACATTTCTAGTAATACTCAAGGACAAAAAAAAAAACAACTAATTGAGGGAAAACCATGAACCACAGTTAATTGGTTCAAAATGAAAAGTCCAGAAAGCTTTAATACTAAAAGCAACTCTAAATCAAGCCTGTGGTAGCTCTTGTACAGTTTGTAGAATTCTCAGTTCTTACAAGCTATTTACCTATTTGGGAACTAATTCTGGGAAAACACACAGCGCTACTTTAATGAAAAAGAGGTTTGGTGCAGCACAGATACGTTTGCTTTGAATTAATTTTTAATGCTTTATTTTAGAGCAATGATTGCAGCCTCATACTTTTTAAAAATAAATATTATATTCCTTATTCCAGTTGTCTCAGTTCGTGTATTAGGTTTGATTTTCATTTTTAAACATCTCTGTCCGGTAATAACCTTTTTCCATTTGTATTCTGTGAACTCAATGGAAGGACAAGTGGGACAAATGGAGGCTTTTTAAAATACAAACTCAGACACAGAACAAAACACCTTCACTGCTACTGAAGGAGACCTGACACATGTCATTTTCTGGGAAGCAATGATGCTACATAGAAGACTTAATTTCTTGCATGTCAGAGGGCAAGGAAATTAGTATACAACAGGGTATTGGCAAATATTCTGCTGTTCATGTGGAAACTTTTGGTAAGCACCAGTGGGTCTGTTTAAGTAAGTAGAAGATCTGAATCTTTACTGGGACTTGAACTCAAGACCTTCAGCTCTCACTTGGATTTTTCCACTCAATATAGGCTCTACCACCTGAGCCACACCTCCACTTCTGACATTCTGCTGGTTAATTCGAGCCAAGAGTTGCACAGACTTTCCTGCCCAGGTTGATGTTGAACTTAATTTTTAGATCTCAGCCTGTTAAGTAGCTAGGGTTACAACTATGAGCCATACATGCCTGGCTAACAGTTGAGTCTTTCTAAAAGGAAAAATTGATGTCCAGAGATAAAAAAATGGTCTAAAATTTCTCTCCACAAAGCAATTCTGGGTCTCTTCTGGATTACATCCCTACTTCCCAGGAGAATTTCTGTTCTTGACAAGAAGAATAAAGAATAATAGGAAGATTTTCATACCTTTAGGTTTAATTTTAAATTACCCACATTTATGTACATTTGGACCATAAGAAATATGTTTGTGCATGATAGCATTTTTCTGAGATGTATATTTAATTTTAGGCACAGAATTTAAATGTACTCATTTATTCGTTCTTTCATTAACAAGTAGTCTTGAAAACTGTATTTTGGTTTCTATTCTAGACATGCTTTCCTATACTTGAGTTGAACAGTAAAGATGCAAGTGAGCAACGCAATATACACAATCATTTTAAGTACTGAAAATAAAGCCAAAAATTGTGAAAGGTAGTTCATGCCTATCCTATGATTCCAGCTCCTAGTCAGGGATATGTAGAGAAAAGAATCTCTTTGTAAAGGCAATCTAAGTAAAAGCAGGAGACACAATTTCAAAACTTAACAAAAGCAAGAGGAATAGAATGATGTTTAAGTGGTAGAGGACTGGACCAGAACTGTGTAAGGAAAAAAAGAAAATAGGCAAAAAAGGCAAAATAATGTGATAGGGATGGCCAGTTAGACAATTAGGGGAGAATGTTTTGTTGAGATAGAAGTTGAATTGCAACTTTAATGATAAAAAATCAGCCAAGTTAAGATTAGGAGAAAGTAAAGTTCTATGAAGACCAACAGGGAGTAAGTCTTCACATATAAACACACTGGTTGAGAGGTAATGAGCAAGACAAAGAAGGAAGGAGATGAAGTTGGCAAAGTAGGCAGAGTTTTTTATTTTATTCTCAATGAAATGTAAATCTTGTGATTGAATCTAATTTACTCCAAAATTTGTTTTGGGCTAGATTACAAGCTCATGCTTGTAATCCTAGCTACTCAGCAGGGTGAGATCTGAGAATCAGAGTTCAAAGCCAGCATGGGAAGACAAATCTGAGAGACTTTAATCATCAATTCACCAGTAAGAAGCTAGAAGTAGAGCTGAGGTTCAAAGGGTAGAGCACCAGCTTTGAGTGCAAAAGCTAAAGACCCTAAGTTCAAGCTCCAGTATTGGCATACACCTAGAATAATAGCGTTGGCTTCTTACAGAGAACGGATTTCAGAAGTAGCAAAGTGATAAGACTTAAGATTTCTGTTGGCTTTGAGAAATGCTCATCAATGAATAGATACATCAATGTATTTGATGGCATGCTTCCAATGACATTGCTCTAAAATGAAAATTAGAAAAAAAACAAAAATTTATTCACTCTTGGTCATCATAGTCTATTAGGATCCATCTAGCTAAACTTTTCTACATGGGAACTTACGAGACAGGGTCGTATTAAATGTGCCATCATCCCAATTTACTTTGTTATGGAAACGCTGATAAACACTTTTGGAAGGCAGCTCTGCAAACCTTTTTCTATCTCTTTCAAAACACTTGTATGACTACAGCAGGGAAACATCACTTAGAATGCTGGGAACGAGAGGAAAAAGGAATGACTCTTCTGTCCCCTAAGCAAGGAACAAAGAATCACTTTCGAGTTTGTTTTTATGCTTGTTCATCTGATCCATCCCTCACGGATCTACTGGAGACATTTTCTTCAGCTAATGAGGTGGTCCTGCTGAGACCAGTCCTAGCAATAATAAAAAATAACATGCCCAGCGCAAAACAGCACGAAGTAAGGTTTTTTGGTGTTACTTTTTGTGGACTGGTTCAGAAGTTAGAGATTGCAGTTAATTTCCTTGCTACTTAAAGTAACATGGACAGGAAAGTCTCCCAGTTGTTGGTCAAGGCAGTGAAGCACCCATGAACTTGAATTTGCCAGTCTTGTCCACATCTATTTGGATTCTAGTTCTGTCTCTTTAATCATGAGAATATGGCCATACTTCCCCAAGTATGAATTTTCTAAGCTATTTAAGGGCATGTGGACACTTGATCCCATAGTTGTGAAAAGAATAAATGGAATTGGTAAGATGTCCATACAGCACCAGTAATCAATAAATGACCAATAATCATTATCAATATCATTATAATACACATTGCTAAGCCACACAAAGACATTGGATTGTCAAGGAATTTTACTTGTGTAGAGATGATATAATCTAGTATTTCATTAATACGCTTCTCCAGTTATTACAAAAAAGCTCAGCCATGTGCTCTTTTTAGTATCATGGCCTCTATTATGCACAGGGTTGAGAGAAGTTCATTCTCTGCCTTTGTGGCTTCTGGCAAGAGACACTGACTATATCAGAAGCAAATCTGCAGGTGAAGATTGATTTCTCACCCTGGAGTGCTTCTACATCTCAAGTGGGTATTTGGAAAGTGGAATAGGTACTACTTCTGGGGTTGTTTTTGATTGTCATGGTGATGGGGCAGGGCTTCTTTCTGGCATTTCATGACTAACGGCAAAGAACTCTGCACAAGGTTATTTGCTGAATTAGGGTAAGGTTGTCCATACTTTCCAGCTGGTATCCCAATGACTGTACAAGAGTTGAGTCCCTCTCCAGTTATCTTGAAAAGGAAAGAGAAGCTTTATTTTCTGTTATAGGAAGTAAGAATGCCTTCTCTTTATGTACATTGCCAATGCCAAGTAATTTCATTGCTGAATAGAAGCCATTTAATAGCGTTATTTTTGGAAATCCTTAGGTACCATGCCAGAAACCGAATGCAAATCTCCATTTCCCCAATAAACAACACCAACTGTCATTTTTTTCTTGTCTTGCAGAAAGTCTTTCTTTTTATGTAATATGGCTATTCAATGATAGCTAACATTGATTTTGTCTTCTAAAGATAAGCTTGAGGAGATAAAAAGGTAACACTAATGACATAACTAATACTCTTTGTAGAAATATTATCAAGCAAATATGCAGAAATGAGAGTACCACAGGCCAGGTTTAAGTTCAGACCTTAGCCAAGGCCTTCAACTA